TTCAATAATAGCCCTTCCCATCTTGCCCATAATTCCGTCTTCTCTACCTCGGAGATAATTAGGAAGAAACCTAATTATCTCCCAAGGTAGAGACAATCGCCATTTTAACTTACAATAATAAAAATACATTAAAATACATAACTGCAGAAATACCGAATGCATATAGTTCGTGTAACGTATCCCCAGACAGCCTGGATCTGAGTGCATGTTTTCACCGAATAGCGCTCAGATCTGATGTATCTAGTCGAATCGCCATGGAGTCAAAGTCTTTCACCAGTCCTTCGGTATACGAATGACTCCATGGGATGGCTGTCTGGGTGAAAGTCCATACGAATGAATAAAAACTCCCGAACGACCGACGTTCGCATGCCTTGTCGAAATGGAAGGTAGGCAGCAGCTTCCAGCGGTGTTCGGTAGTTTAAGTGTCCGTTTTTAGTTCCATACAGTTTGTACCGAACACCGCTATGTGTTCGTATGTCCCAAAATGGCCGCTGCCTCGTGGTCGACATGCGAACGACGACCACCCGTACGAATGGAATGGAGAGGTGTCTGCGGTTAACCACAACGTTCTAATTGGGGCCAAGAGGTTAACCAGCAGCACACTCCTCTCCTGGGTGGTCGTTCGTTCGGTAGTTTCAATCGGTAGTTTGCAAATTACACGAACGGGGTTATATGAACAGGCAATTCAGCGAACAAAGGGAAACAGACGAACCAGCAATACAGATGAATCTGTCACACGGCTCCCCCCCTTGTGGGACACTCCGGCAGACCCGGCTTGACCCTTTAGCGGGTCAACGTGGGGATGACCGGACTAAGATGGGGTGAGGATGTCGGTTTGCCTGGACAATCCATCTGCATTCCCATTCTGCTTACCGGGTCGATAACTGATGGTGAAGTTATATGGTTGTAGTGCTAAACTCCACCTCAGCAGTCTGCCATTGTCTCCTGAGACCCGGTTAAGCCAGACAAGGGGATTGTGGTCCGTCACCAGGGAAAATTCCTGTCCATATAAATACAGGCTTAACTTTTTCAATGCCCACACCAGGGCCAAACACTCCTTCTCCACTGCCGCATAACTCACTTCTCTGGGTAACAGCTTTCTGCTGAGATATGCGACAGGGTGCTCTCCTCCATCTTCCCCGACCTGGCTCAGCACAGCCCCCAGTCCATACATGGAAGCATCTGTATGGACGAGAAAACGTTTGTTAGGGACTGGGGCAGCCAGGACAGGGGCATTCACAAGAGCTTGTTTGAGTGCTTGGAATGCAGCTTCAAAAGCTGGAGACCACAGGACCTGCTTAGGAAGATTTTTCTTTGTCAGGTCAGTCAGGGGTTTAGCAATAGTGCTGTAGTCGGGGACAAAGCGTCTATAGTACCCTGCTGTCCCTAGGAAGGCTAACACCTGGGTCTTGGTGATAGGTGTGGGCCAGTTAGCAACTGCCTCTATCTTGGCTGGCTCTGGCCTCTGGCTCCCACACCCTACTCTGTGACCCAGGTACTGCACTTCAGCCATGCCTAAATGGCACTTCTCTGGCTTCAATGTCAGGCCAGCGGCCCGAATCTTGTCCAGCACCACCCCTACATGTACTAGGTGTTCTTCCCAGGACTCACTGTAGATCGCAATGTCATCCAGGTATGCACAAGCAAATTCCTGGAATCCATCAAGAAGTCTATCCACCATACGCTGGAAGGTAGCCGGGGCATTCTTCATCCCAAATGGCATGACCTTAAATTGGTACAGGCCAAATGGGGTGACGAAGGCCGACTTGGGGATAGCATCCTCGGCCAGGGGAATCTGCCAGTAGCCTTTGCACAGGTCTATGGTGGTCAGATAGCGTCCCCTGGCAATGCGATCTAACAATTCATCTACCCGGGGCATCGGGTAGGCGTCAGTGGTGGTCCGCTCATTGAGACGCCTGTAGTCCACACAGAACCGGGTGGTCCCATCCTTCTTGGGCACCAGGACTACAGGCGAGGCCCAAGGGCTATCGGAGTGTTCGATGACCCCCAGCTGGGTCATCTCCTGTATCTCCTTCCGCATTCCTTCCCGGACTGCTTCAGGGATACTGTAAGGGGGTTGTCGCAGGGGGTTCTGTCCAGGGGTTTCTACCTTGTGTACAGCTAGGGTAGTGTAACCAGGTTCTTGGGAGAAGGTCGCCTGCTTTTCCCACAGAAGCTGTCTTGCCTGGCCCTTCTCGGTAGAGCTCAATCTGTCCCCTAGCTGTACTAGGCTAGTAAGATCCGTCTGGGGGTCCCTCTCTAACAGATCTGGTAAGGGTAAACTCTCTGTATCATCTGCAGCAGGGGCACATACTGCAGCGGCATTCTCTGGTCTCTCCTGATACTCCTTTAGCATGTTCACATGGAAGGATCGCTGGATCCTTTCCTCTGAACAGCTGGCTATAAGGTAGGTAGTATCGCATATCTGTGCTAACACCTTATACGGGCCCTGCCAAGATGCCTGCATCTTGCAATGCAATGGTAATCCTTACCATTAGGGACAGTTTCTCCATGCGGTCCCGGAGTTCCAGAACATACGGTACTATGGGGGTCCCTTCCTGCTCTGTCTCCCCCTCCCAGTGGCCTCTAATGAGATCTAGGGGTCCGCGGACCCTTCTCCCATATAGCAACTCAAAGGGGGAGAACCCAGTAGATTCCTGAGGCACCTCTCTGTAGGCAAACAACAGATGAGGGAGGAATCGCTCCCAGTCTCTGCAAGTGTCAGAAAAGGTCCTCAGCATCTGTTTGAGGGTGCCATTAAATCGCTCGCAGAGACCGTTAGTCTGTGGATGGTAAGGTGAGCTAAGCAGCGGTTTAATACCGCACACCTTCCACAGTTGCTGGGTGAACACAGCGGTGAATTGGGTTCCCTGGTCAGAGAGAATCTCTTGAGGGAACCCGACTCTGGTAAAAATCCTAACCAGGGCATCAGCAACTGTCTCTGCCTCTATATTAGACAGCGCTCCTGCCTCTGGATAGCGAGTGGCATAATCCACCACGGTGAGAATATATTTCTTACCGGATGGACTAGCCCTGGCCAGTGGACCCACAATGTCAACGGCTATGCGGGCAAAGGGCTCCCCAATGATAGGCATAGACATAAGTCTAGCTCTTGGGTGGTCCCCCCGCTTTCCTACCCATTGACATGTGTCACACGTACTGCAGTATGTCCGAACAGCCTGAATAAAGTTTGGCCAAAAAAAGTTCTGCATGATCCTATAGGCTGTGCGGCGGGAACCTAGATGTCCAGCTAGGGGAACATCATGCCCTATCCGCAGAATCTCCTGCCGGTATTTTGCAGGCACCACCAGCTGTCGATTCGGCGGAGGGGCAACACTCTTCGGGGAAAGCTTGGGGATCCTATACAACCTGTCCCCCACCCACTCATACCGTTCCCCATCTAATCCTTCCTCTCCAGTATCTGCTCTGTCCCTATACTTCTGGAGGGTCGAATCTGTCTGAGTTTCCCTCCCAAACTCCTCTGGGGAATCCCAGCTAATAAAAGTCTGTTCTAGGGTACCAGTTGGGGACTCGGTTCTTACCTGGGTCTCAGCAGCAGGTGGGCTGGTTCCAGCAGCACGGGTCTGGGCACAGGTAGTCACTGGGTTGATAGCGGCAGGTCCCATTGGAGCATAAGCGGACACCAAAGGGGCCAAGTCATTCCCAAGCAAAACATCGGCCGGTAAGTCTTTCATGACCCCCACATTGATGTGTCCAGAGCCCACCCCCCAATCCAAGTGAACCCGGGCAACCGGTAAACGGAACACTGCACCTCCCGCCACCCTCACTGCCACAGTATCTCCAGTGTGCTGATGTTCGGAAACAAGGTTCTTTTGGAGCAAAGTCATAGTGGCTCCGGTGTCTCTCAGACCAGTTACTGCTTTGCCATTTAGTTTAACGGTCTGCCTGTGCTGTTGACGGTTATCCAGCTGCGCTGCTTGTACTGGATCCGCCTCATGTAGTATACCCCAAAATTCC